TGTGTGTGTGTGTGTGTGTGTCATATATCTCTAAATTATATGAGGTTAAATTTCCGTCTTCACTGGGTCACAAGTTGGGCCCATGAAGTCTATGGTTTGGCCCTGGCTTGCAATGTAACCACGCCCTCTGCTGTTCTTCTGTAGAACAGCACGTGGAGCAGAGGGGAGCAAACACAGACAACTTCCCTCTTCAGACAACTTTTGACCTACATCTGCATCCAATCAGCAGCCAGGAGTCTCACTTGTTACACAACACCAGGAGTCACTTCTTCTCCATCCAACACGTCCTGTGCGTATTTGGCCTGATGCACTTTAACGTCTTTAACAATGAGGAGACTTGTTGAGTGAAGGACTGCTCTCAGAAACTGATTTCATCTGGTGACATAGATGTTTGTATCCAGTCTCTAGCACCATATGAAATCAGTGTTTTGGGAGGTGGACTGTCAGCATGTGGAGCCTCTGTACAAGAGTACACTGACACACAACATGTTCTTGTGTTGATGCCGGAAAGTAGGTCACATATGTATAAATTACTGTATATTCTCCTGCTTCATTCAATAACTGCTCACAGCTGCTGTCGTGCTTTGACCTATTTTTTTCTCCCGCCTGCCTCTCAACTACTCAACATATATATTATCGTGAATCCACTTTTATTCATGTAGGAAATCTCTTTCCAATTATCTTACATTAAATGTTATACATTTTTCTGAACTATTTAACTACTCCTGAACTGTAGCCTCAACTGACCATTTTATAAGTTGCCTACTTTTCTTTAAAGGCTCATTCTATGTCTGAAATCTGGCAGCTCATTGCATGTACGTCCTCCAATTACAGAATTTCCTTTTATATATTGGTTGTTTTAACTGAACGTGAAATGTACTGCTGAGATTGTGTATGTTGGGTGTGTGTTACAGCCGCTATGCTATTTTTAAAGTGATTTTCTTTTAAAGCTGAAAGAACTCTGTGCAGGTATTTTTCTTCATAAATGACAGTATTATAATAAAGGGTTTTTATCACAATAAAGCTTTTGCCCCATTTAAACTCATTCAGAGGCTGAAAACTAAAATGTCTCTCACATGAGTTTGATATTTATAAAATAAATATCTGAAAGTTTGTTCGTGTGTTGGTTTTAATCAATAAAAACGTATATATCTATGTTTACCCCGAATGAAAGTTCATTCTTGATCTTGAAGACCGTAGTCTCACCACACCCTTGTCGTGAGATGAGCCACTAAGTAACTGCTCCAGAGCTTTTTAACATAACGTAACCTGACCTGAGCAGATTGAGCTTGACCAATTTCCATGATTGCGAATGTCAAAAAGTTGAGATTGATCGTTACAATCGAAAGCTACAGAATAATTATGAAATGGACTTTGTGTTAACATGACGTTTTGTCAGATACCATTTCCAAGCTTAAGAATGTTTCAACTTTTAATATGGACATGAACGGTTCCTGGACACTGGACAAACATCTGCTGAGGAAAATCATTGGTTATGATTAAAAACCCCACAACAGAACTAAATGTACCTTGTGTTGACATCATTTTTCAACCATATCCATGTGTTTGTGGGGATTGTTTTTATCTTGTCCAAATATAAACTCACACGACTACAGATGTTATGTTTGACTGTGAGTCATAAATATGAAGGTACAGTGTGTTTTCTTGCCCATGAGGAGCATTTTCTAACTGCCTCCTCCACCCCGACTTTATGAAGAAGCTACAGCAGTGAGACCAGGCGCCGTATATCACGACACGGACAGATATGGTGATTAAACTGGAACAGACGCCCTCACTGAGGTGCTGATGATGGGCTCATGAAGGACATGAGGGAATTGACTGATGGCCAGGCCGTTCTATAGGGGACCGTCATACAGGCCAGAGGGATCCCTATAAATCTCAGCTGGATCCCTTCATGGAGGTAAAAAGGAAGATTTATGAAACAGCATAAGTCTTCCCTTAGGAGGATGAATCATTCATGAAACGTGCACCAAGGTTAAAAAAAAGAAAAAGGCGAAATTACTGACATTGTTTTCATAATTTCACATGTTTTATTTTTGCTTTGACTGAAATGAGAATACGTTTTTGAGCTCTGAAGGATGTGTCGAATGTAATATGCACTGAATTAAAACAAAGTTACAAACAGGCAGCGTTCTGATGCAATATTCATATGGTCACATTCGTTTTTATGCATATTTGTATCCCTGTCTCTGAGCACAAACAAGTGTATTCAAATGAGACATTTTACATTATGTTATTATATTTTCTCTGAACTAAAAAGTTTGTTCTTTTTCTTGCTGTAGTTCTTCAGTTTGGTCCATGAACCCAGACTGTAAAGACAAATAGGGGCCTCAGAGGAAATAAGATGTTGGTGCCTACAGACACACCATCTGAAACCAGCTCTCTCTGCAGCTCATGGCAGGGTGTACATGGCAGCTGAGTAATGAGAATCAGCCAGAACTAGATTGTTTTTGCCAAATATGTTGACACCTACATGATTTGTCAATGTCAATGGAAAAAAGAAGCTGCAAAATATAGGAAACAAATAAGATGTTGCACATTTAGACATTCAGCTAAACAAAGACATAAAAACCAAACAAACACAATGAATAGAGAAATTAATATCCTGCACAGGCAAGTAGGTATGAAAAAAATATGTATATAAACAACATCTGGTCAACAGATAAACAGCACGAATAGCTCACATTTTTACTGAATACTGCTTAATTAGAATTGTGGTGTGGTTGTTATATGTTAAAAACAACAAAGTAGTAATCAGTGGAAAGACCATTGATATGGGCAATGTTAACAATGGTTTGATTGAGTCTTTACACTATATCACATTTCACTAGAAGCCAAGAAACCAACCAGTGCTGCTTAAGTGGAATAAAACACAGACTCAGGTTAACAACATGTCTGTCGTTTGTTAACGTCTGTGACTCATTTGACCATATGAGCGACAGTACAGCTAAAATAAAAATATTTATGACACTGATTATGTAAAAGGTAAATGACACATGGAATGCATTTTATGGTGCATTTATATATAGTCACATTCACACACTCATTCATACAGTACTGGGTGTAGACCCAGCAGTTTTCATACCACACACCATCCATACACTGCCAGCACAGAAGTCAGGGGTGATTTAGGGTTTGGTGTCTTACCCAAGGACACTAAGGAATGCAGACTGGAGGAACCAGGGATTGAACCACTCACTTCATGGTTAGTGGGCAACCCACAGCTTCCTCACAGCCATTTATATGAAACTCAGTTGATGTAGCCATTCATTTTCATACAAATTCTTCTCTGTGTTGTCATTTTTCATCACATTTTACCTCCAGATAGGACATAAAATGTCAGCACTGCTCCCTTTTGTCAGTACGCTTGTCCATTCTGATATTTTGTACTTCCCTCCCTCAGGGAACATATATATGCATAACCTCTAGGTTTTTTGGTGAGCTTTGAAACTTTGAACAGTTGAAATGAAAATTTATTGGAAACTAATTTGATAACTAAATAATTGTTTGAGTAATTATTAAAGCAAAAATACCAAAACTTTTGATTTTGTAGTTTTTCTACATTTGGTTTTACATTTGTCAGATGTGACAGTAAAGTGAATATCTTGAGGTTAAGGACCGTTCTGCTGTTCACTGGATCGGTTAGGGCACCATTCCGAATAAAGTGTTTTCTTTTTCTTTTTGTGTTCACATAAGTCTGTTGTATGTAGATATTGGGAAGACACTTGCCTGTATATTTTCTGTACATTCTTATTATAGTGGTGTGTGGTATAGTCCTTCAACATAGACGGGACGATGCTGCGGATGTTCTATGAGTCTGTTGTGTCCAGTGCCACCATGTTTGCTGTTGTCTGCTGGGGCGGCAGCTTGAAGAAGAAGAAGTGGCAGACTCATCCACCCACGCTGCTCGACAGAACGCCACAGGAAATCATTCCTGCCTGTGTACAATGACAACCTGTAAATTATACAGATTAATAATGTATACTGTGTATACTTTAACTTTAACATACACGCATGCACAAATGTAAATCTATACATACATTTATTTCTACATATGTATATCTTTTATTTCTTTTAGCCTTGCTTGATTTTTATATTGCTATGTTTATATCTGCTTTTGCTCTTTCACCTCTTTCTCAGGGGCTCTGTAACGTTTGAATTTCCCTACGGGGATTAATAAAGTATGTCTGATTCTGATATACAGGTAAACTGAGAATCTACATGTGAGTGTTCATGCAGAAGCTGAATGAAGAAGTGACCATAATGAAATAAATGTGAATGAACGAGCAGAACAAGTGCGGTTTCCATTATTCTGAACCACATTCAGAACAAGGTCCTTTTACAAATATCTCTCTGGTCCCTCCCACCTCGCAGTATCCGAGCAACGCGGCTCCGGGCTCTCTCCTGATTGGTCCGTTTCCAAGAATCCGCCATATTCAAACTTCCGCCGTGGTGTGTGTCCTGTTGTCATCGATCGTCTGCTTTCTTTGTACGCGTCGGGACCGCTCTAACGCGACTGCACGTCGTGTTTTTCTCGCTTGGTCACGACCACACTTTGATAGAAGTGATTCAGGAACGGAGCCGGTCACAAAATGGAAGAAACGGAGGAAGCGTGCGGAGGAACGATGGAGAATAAGAAGCTGAAAGTTCGCAGGATGACGTCGAGGACGTCCTCGTCCAGCGTTCGGAGCGTCGCCGCAGAGGCTTCTCCTCAAACCCTGCGGAGGAACAACAGCAAGAAGTACGTAGAACACGTCCGAGAATACAACTGTGGTTCTTTATTGGGCTCTAACGTTGTTTATTCGTACTAATGTTCGTTTCCTGGTTCGTCCGCGGTGACGGGCAGGGCTGCTGCTGTAACTGATCAACGAGGCTTTCAAGTGCACCACGGAAAACACACCTTTAATTTTAAATGCGGTTGAGACTATTTGAAATCTAGTTGAAAAACAAGTACATGAAAGATTACTGCAGAGATTAACTGGCCCCTCTTCTATTATTTTCATCATCTGTTGGTTTCTGATTAGATATTTTTTCTATAAAATGCCACAAATGCTCATATCAATACCCTAAAGCCCCTGATGATGTATTCAAATCAGATTCAATGATTATTTTCATTATTTGTTAATCTGCAGATTGTTCTCCTCCATTAGTTGTTTGTAAAATCTACAAACATAATGAAAAGTCTTGTACGATCTTATTTTGCCTGAGCAACAGTGCAGTCAGTTTGAAATGATGTACGTCAAACATCACATCTGCACTCTGCACTAGAGTCAATGATATTGAATCATAGATGCAGCAATGAATTATATGAGGAGACCGTTTGTATGTTACATGTTTTTCAGCTGCTTTTGCATTTGACTAAGCTAACAGCAGTTTAATTCACAAAGCTGTATCTTCTTCTATTCTATAGTGTAGATCTATGTTATCAGCTGAACCAGCTCACTGTTTATTCCTCCTTACAGGACTTAGCATAGTGGTGATTTTTTCCAGGTGTATGGTACTTTAATGCAACATTGAATACTAAAGTGTAATTTCCTTTTTTTCAATTATAAACATCTGCATCATTTAACCTGCTCTGCACTTGTATTTGTTCCTGCAGATTTTCCAAAATGCAAATATTGATATCTGCAGATAGACTTGGTATTTGTTTTGGCTTCACATTTATGATTGCAAAGTGCCAGATATTTAGCATGTACTCTCTACACTATGTATCCTCGACAAGTCACAAGATAAACTGTACTTGTTTAGTTCATTACTCTCTTGTATCATTCATGCTTCTCTCATTAGTCTGTTATTTCCAGCATGGCTTAAGGCATGAGCCCAAGATGTAGATTGTGCAGCTGACCTTGGACATGAAGACACTGAAACTCTCTGTAGCTTTATTGTTTTGTCACCATAACTGAAATATTTAGAAGCAGCTAGCAGACTAATGCCTTACATGGTTTTAAACACTAATATCCCTCCATCATCATTGGAACATAACAGAAATGGGATGCAAATGGGGTCCACCATGTTAACAGAGCTTTAATGCATTCCCTATAAAAAAAAACTGTGATTCTCTATCTCCATCTTCTCTTAGATACATAAATTAAAAAAGACTGTCTTTAGTTGGAGCCAAACAACAACAAAAAAGCCACTGTGGGCAAACTGAAGTGATTTCCAACGCACTGTGATTCAAAAAAGACGAGATATAAGATATGAAAAAAACTACCTAAAAAAAGGGGGAGTGCACCCCAAGAATAATTTAAAAACAAGCTTGTGAACTTCTGATTAATTTACAAAACAAATCTCAGACGCTCAAACAAGGTTAAGAAACTATGCAGCTTCCCCTGATTGGGATTCTCTGCAACTGTTCACCTGTGACTCCTAAATATAGACTGCGTGTGGCTATAGTGGACACCAAGCGATAACATTCATGTGATTTACCATCAAAATCAATGTTACATGAAGCACACTTCAGTTTTGGCTACAACTCTGTCAATGACGTAGATATAAACCTGTTTTTACTGTCTCTACTTTCTTGTAGGCCTCCGCTCCAGAGAGGCAGCTCCTTCACCTTTCTTACACCGGGGACTCCGTGGGACTTCAGTTTAGTGAGTTGATGTTGAAAACACCATCATGTCCCACTGCAGAGGTCACATCCTCACACTGGTATCTGTTTGTGAAGCAGATGAAAATAAAACATGACTTGTACTGATGCTTGGAATAATATATTATGTGTAGGGATATATCTGATGATTTTTGGGCTCGGATTGCAACTGGGAACGTAATGAATGTGGACTTGTTATTTTTCTACAGAAGAGGAAGCGCAAAGAGAAGGACGATGACACGGTCAGTCTGTCGAGCTTCGACCTCAAGGTGAGACCCAGGACAGCCTGTCCACTGGCTGCAGGCCTCGTCTAGCACAGTCTTGAATGCTGCACCAACCAGATCTGCTTTAACGCCTCAAATTTTAATCCCTGTGCATGACTCAGGTGCTCGTCTACACAGACGGACATGAGCGCTCTCGTGTGTTATGAGCTCAGGATAATCCCGCTCTCACTCGGACTGTCACAACCACTGACAATCTGAGCAAATGAGAACGGTGAAAGATAATCTGAGCCACACCGTCGCTCGAGATTATCAGTCTATCAACACTAACGTGAATTACAGGTTCAGTTCAGTACACTGGTGTTTTAATACACTTTTTATTCAAGATAAAAAACAACATAAACAAAGTAACTTTTGAGACCAGAGTTAAATAATAGAGGATTTCCTATTGAAACCTTTTCTCAGCACTAACTAGACACTGAGTATAGCACATAACCATCTGCAAATCCAAAGAGTATAAAGTTTTATAATTACACTTTACATGTCAGTACAATCGAGTTGAACCTGAAGAGAGTTTATTTTCTTGATTCGTAGGAACCCAGCAACAAGCGAGTCCGACCTTTGGCCAAAGTTTCATCTCTCGTCAACTTGATATCTCCTTCAAAGAACGGGGCAGTGCGGCGCTTTGGTCAGACCCTCCAGGTACACAGCAGAAGTCTTTACACTGACAATCACTCAGCCAATTGTCTTTATGAGAATTTAAATGAATTGAATTTGTTTACCTGTTTTGTGTTCTAGTCAATGTCGTTACGCAGCGACAGCAAGTCACCAGGGATGTCCCTCAAAGCCGGCAGCAAGGCAGCAGGTCCCACTCCCACGAAACGAAGGAACAGCACGCTGTGGTCAGAGACGCTGGACGTCCATCAGAAGAGCACGTTCTCCACCAAAGAGATCAAGAGACAAGAGGTCGAGCATTTCAGACTAAAGTGCAGTCATCTCAGAACTCCACAAAGTAAAAAACGAACTTCTCTCACTCTGGTTTCTCTCGTGTTTTAATATTCCTTCTCCAGGCAATTTATGAGCTGTACAGGGGAGAGCAGGATCTCATCGAAGATCTCCAACTTGCACGAAAGGTTAAAAACTTAAAATTTAAACTTTTATTTTATTTTTTAAAATCAAAACATTTCTGCCCTTTGACAACTGTTTCCTTGTTTACTTTCAGGCGTACCACGATCCAATGCTGAAGCTCTCCATCATGACAGAGGAGGAGTTAGCTCACATATTTGGGGACCTGGACGCATACATCCCCTTACATGAGGGTAAGTAATCACCGACCATGATTGGATTTTGATGCTAGTATGTGTTTTTAACCATGTGTGAACTTTTATATCTGCAGATTTACTGATGAAACTGACAGAAGGAACCGGCCCCGATGGAACAGTCGCTCAGATCGGACAGATTGTAATAGACTGGGTATGTATGCTCGAGATGATATCACATTCAGAGAATATCTGTGAAGATTCTCTATCAAGCTCATGGCATCACGAGAAGTTGAACATGTGTATGTAGTCAACTGGACTTGCTTGTGTTTCATGATGAAGTTTCACCACTGATCAGCTTCTTCAGTTCTCACTGACGAGAGCGAGGTTTCAGGTATTTTACCTATGCGGGTCTTTACCTATGTTGAGAGTCGTTATGTTAAACAGACAGGTCGTTGAACCCCCCCACAGCTAGTGGGTCAGTTGGAACTGAAGAAGCCTTTTGGACGAGAGGTAAAACGTCTTAAGAAACACAGGCAAATTCAGTTGCTTATGTACACAGGTACATACCCCAGAAGACACATGGCTCCTATTGGATCTTTTTTAGATCCTTTAATGCCACATACAAAACAGTTTAATACCAGCGGAATAAAGGGAAATGGAAAGAAAACCTATAGAGACTGCAGTATACAACAATACATGTTATTTATATGACAAGTTAACTGTCCACTAATGCAATTCATTCATGATTATTTTCAATTCATATTGTGGAATTAGAGATTTATGAGACAAGACTTCCTAATTGTGATAGTATTGGCTAAAGGTTCAATGGTGATGACTGAAACTCTGCTACAGGATAGATCAGCCTGCTGCAGCTTCATCCACACTTTTTAGTTTGGGGTATAATTAATTAAAATATATTCTATCTCCTGACAGTCTGCATTAGCGTTTTATTAAAATTCTTTATTAAAAGCAAGATGAACTATTTAGTAAGTTAAATTTAAGACTTTTTGGAGGAAACTGAAGTAAAGATTATTTAATTTATTTTAAGACTTTCCAGAGTGATATATAATCTTTCAATGCTTTCAATAATCTGGATTTATCAAGTTCCAGTGTGTTAACAGTGTCACTGATTTATAAATTCGTGAGCTCATGATTAATTTTAGTAATCCATGAAATAGATAAATAATTTAGTTGATGTGAGGTTACAATTGACATTTTCAAATCTTATGTGTAAGGTACATGAATAAAACATTGTATGTGAGTAGTTAATCATTTACACTGTGTGGTTCTTATCTGGAAGTAATGTTTATGTATGTTTAAAGAGATTTTAAGAACTTTCAAGGAACTTTGATCCTCCTTTATGACAAGAAACCAATAAGGTATTTATTTCACCTAGTTTCAAACCGTTTGAAACAGATTATCTTATCTTCGCAGCTGCCTGGTCTGAACGCTTACAAAAACTACTGCAGCAACCAGCTCGCGGCCAAAGCGCTGCTCGACCAGAAGAAGCAGGACAGGCGGGTGCAGGACTTCTTGCAGCGCTGTCTCGAGTCGCCCTTCAGCAGAAAACTTGACCTGTGGAGCTTCCTGGACATCCCACGTTCACGCCTGGTGAAATACCCGCTGCTGCTGCGAGAGATCCTCAGACACACTCCTCCTGATCACCCAGACGTCATCAGTCTGGAGAGAGCTGTACGATATATATCTGCCTCATACACATCTCTACTTTCACAGATATAAGAGTGTTGATATTTATTTTTCTGGTTACTGTGTGTTTTCTGATAAATCTTTCTTTGATTATCCAGATTTCTATAATCCAGGAGATTCTGTCCGACATCAATTTGAGGAAGGGGGAGTCTGAGTGTCAGTATTATATAGACAAACTGGAGTATCTGGATGAGAAGCAGCGAGACCCTCTCATAGACAACTGTAAGACACTGCTGTGTCATGGTGAGCTGCGGAACAAGAGTGGCTCGGTGAGAATCAGGATTAATCTCTTATCATAATTTCACCCACATGCTTTAAAAGTACTGTCAACATGTATGTGTCCATCAAAGTCAATTTCACTCTCTGTCAACGTCTCTCTCCACAGCGGCTGCATGTGTTTCTCTTCTCCGAGCTGCTGGTTTTGACGCGGCCGGTGACACGTAATGAGAGGAGCTGCTTCCAGGTGTATCGACAGCCAATCCCAGTGAGGGACTTGGCTCTGGAGGACGTGCAAGACGGAGAGATCCGCATGGGGGGGTCGTTCAGAGGGGCTTTCACCAACACAGAGAAAGGTAGGTTGAGTTTGTGTTACACTCCAAACTTGCGTTGAGTTAGTGTTGTGTTGCCATTTTGAAATTTTGATGGTTTCACAAATTATTTGGTAAACTTGCTCCCTTTCTTTTCTTTGTATTGTTGTAAATTTTTTTACCTTTTCAGTTTTTGACCGAAAAATCATTTGAAGACAAATTTGTGCGCTTGCATTTTTCTTTGTTGTGACTCTAAATGAATAAGAGGAAAATAATTAATAGATAAATGCTCATTAATGGTAGCCCTCATGTAGAAGCAGGCGCTCATTGCCATATGGTCTCACCCAGTCTGGTGTTTTTACAAGCTTGTTTAAATCGTGCCGATTACCTTGTTACACAGTGAACATGTTCTGATCTCTAAGGGAGGAGTTGCGGCTTCAGTCTTCAGCAGAGCTTAACTTGAATCTTCTCTTTGCTATAATGCCCAATTTGCTGTTGCACAAACAAGCCTGAGCCAATGTAACCACAGACTTTAGTGATAATTTACATGTTTACCATACCATACTGCAGCAGCTAAGTAGAGGTTTAGTATATTTGTACTCTCTGGAATACAACTTAGTGTACACATACCTGCTAGGTGAGTAATTTTAAAATGTTGGGCATTAAAAACAGGGAGTACATCGTTACATTGCACATAATGATAATGATAATATAGCAAAGTTGGATTTTATTGCACTTGGTCAAGTTCTCTAACATCACTTGGATAAAGGCTTGTTAAGAGTCTGGAAGTGAGAGTTTTTAAGGACCTTCCAGAGTGGCAATGTGAAAAGGTGGTGACCTGGGTGAGATGAGCCACTTATGACAGGTTGTGTAAGGTTTGTTTTGATCACCCTATAATAAGGTTTTTTTCCTTCCACTGTTTGTGCATAACGTGAATAAGACTTTGATTTATTACTCCCTCCATGAACATTTTTGCATCAATATCGAGTCACTTCAGGTAGATTTTTATCTGCATTTTCATTTGCAATTATGGTGAAGACAGCTTCCGTGATCCCACGTTGCTTAACGTCACCAAACAATCACAAACGATAACACATCTTTTGTTATTGATTTGATTGAGAGACCCCTCGTGGCCAAAGGTACATATTGTGCATTTAAAGGATAAGTGTTGAAGATAATGGACGAAATTCATGGATTTTATTGTCTCTCACAGCCTAGAGATCATTTGTCACTGTTTCTTTGCTCACTGTGTCTCTCCAGTGAAGAACATTTTCCGTGTGAGCTCTCTGGATCCTTCCCATGGCCAGTCCCACACCCTGCATGTCAATGACGTCTACCACAAACAGCAGTGGCTCAACTGTCTGCGCACCGCGATGGCTCAGCAGCCGCAGGAGGCTGCACCTCGGGTTCAGGAGGGCGAAGCCATCAGAGCCAAACGCCGCTCTTCCACCCTCTCGGCCACCATCTGTGACGAAGAGACGGACGAGAACTGTCTACCCGTCTCTGGCCCAAAACTCAGGCCTCAGAAGCTCTCAAAAACCAGACTGGACAAGAAGTTACAAGGCTCAGTGAAGAGGAAGGAAACTGAGGTGTAGACATTTAACCTGGTGGTTCACATATGGGTTCCTCTCAGACAGGCACGTGACGTCTTTGTCACATGTCATTGAATTATCATGCAACCACTAGTGCTTTAGCTTCGTCTCTGCACTGAAAAAGCCTATCCAATTTCCGTCCAAATGTAAATAAAACTTTTGTCTTTCAATCTTGTAATTAGTTTACAAAAAAAGTGATACATGCCAGTGTGACTGAAACGTGTTTGCATCAATGAAATGTGTGGAATTAGGGTTTTCTCTATCTACATAACTTCCAACTACTTTACACCACTTGTAGCTCTTATTTCATTTTTCATTCCAGTGTTGACACGTTTCCATTATCTCAGTTTTTGTGTGTAAGTAGACATCATATGTGCAGTTGTTTGTTGTGAGTATTATCAGGTTAAAGAACCAGGAAGCAGAGACAAATTGTCATGGCCTCAGTTGTTTTGAGCAAAACGCCACTAAATAAGACAACGGTAAAAATATTCAAGCTAAGATGATGAGCATAACATTGGCCACAAAAAAGGTTAAAAACATTTCAGAGAGAAAATCAAATGAACATAGATGTATTCAGTGGAAAAAAATAAAATGTGTTTGTATGTAAAATGAATCCTGAGTGTGAGTGTTTGAGTTTTGTTGTTACAACACATCCTCTGGGTTGTACTCTGACCCCTGAGGCACTTCCTTCACTGTTGACAGAGCGGTTTGACAGTGTTTTCTGAACATTTGTAAAGCAAACAGAAGTTGAGTGAACCATCAAGTTGAGTCCTTTGTTCTTAATGGTGAAAAGAAATCCATCTATAATGTAGCTTTGTGCAGTTTTAGACTCCCACTTTTACTGTTCCACTGCTTTTATCTAATGCTGATGACTTGTTGATAAATGACTTTGATCTGCCCCCCAGTTCATTGTTTTGGCTTTACATATTTTTTACATACAGGCAGTGCAAAGTTCTTTGGTTAATAAAAGTTTTGTCAAATATCTCTTGCAAAGCCTTCATTTGTTTGTCAGGGGTCGATGCTGTAAAACCGAAGAATATCCACTGACACTCGCTGGTGTAAAAGATACAGAATCAATGTGTTTAAAATCCATAGAGAAAACAAAGGGGCCTCTTGCAAAGTGTCAGCTGGTGAACAGCTGCAGTATTTATAGCTCAGGGTATCTCACCAACACTAGGAGCTTAAGTGATGGTGAGCATTGTTGAAACCACTTTCCTCACGTTGAGTTTTTGGCTATAATAAGAAACTGTTGAATGTGTAGTTTTTAGAAGCCTATTGCAGTTTTTCTGTTTGGTAAGTAAAACTAAAAGGTGCAAGTACAGCAGGTATTTGTCTTCACTGCCCCCTTACCATAGCCCCTTATGCTTCCTCTTAGTAGAGTAGCGAGTAGCTGGTTTCCTGACAGCCGACTTTCACAATTCACATCATTTTATTAACTCAGTTTCATGTCCGGATGTGACAGATTGAATGTTGTCGTCTTTGTGTATCTTCCTGTATTCCTGGCAGCAACAGTATTGATGTAAACATATTGACTCTGTATGTTTCAGTGCATGTGACTCAGCAGGTAGAGCAGGTTGTAAATTTATCACAGGATTTGACCTCTGGCTCCTCCTGTCCATGTGGCCACATGTCCTTGAAGAGGACATTAAGGCCCCTTTACATTATGCAATCCTCATGGGCTGAGACGTAAGTTTACAGCTTGGACAGACTTTGGCTGTCAGATGTTCATCTCTGCACTGATTATTGACACGCTGCTGCAGATTTCAGTGTCAGAAATTAAGGGTCAAAGTTTGAAAATACCATTTTAAATAATCAAATTTACGTCATAGTGTTGTAAAGAACAAGGCCTTCATTGCACAATCTGACATCAGACGTCAGAATTACACAATCGTTGTCTAGGAGAGAAACTTGGGTCAGCTTTTGCCTAACAAAGCTTTTCAAAAAAAATTCCCATTAAAAAAACCAAAATCTTGTTTGTTTATAGGACATATGTTACCTCAATCTAACTCCATAGAATATACACTGATGTCTCCTGACCCTGTAAAGTGAAACAAGGACAGGGACACTTTTAGGACTGTAAAAAAAATACAAACGTATTGGTCTGAGTTACATTAATTGTAAGAATTGTTAAAACAAAGTCACTGTTTCCTATTATATATGTTTGTTAAACTTTATATACACACAAATGGCCAATAAATGCAATCTTATGCTGATGTGTTCCTCTGTGACATGTTAAAAATGTAAAAAGCCAACCCAATCTCTAACATCTGATGTAGAAAAGAAACGTAATATGATAATAAACACTTTAAAATAAAAGGTACGCAATCATTGTAACTGCGCAGTCTGATAAGGCCTCTTTAGAACTTTTCAATGTGAAACACTCCTTGTCTGATGTCACATACTGTTTTATATCACACTGTTTCTCTATATGCCATTAACAACTTGTCAGACTTTATAGCTGTGGCTCAGGCTTGGACATGTTTTCAAATGAGTCAGACTGAATGAATGTATCTACTTTCCCTTCAGGAAATGGCTGCAGTTTACTCTGTCTAAACCTCAGTGTACATATATTATGTCCTCTGTACCAGGCCACCCTCGTCTCTGTGCCGGGGGGCGATTCTGGGATAGCCTTGACAGGGATGATAGTGATGACACTTTTTTCATCTTCGGCTGCTTGCTGTCTGTGCAACTGACTATGTTGTGAGAACTTCTGTCTGTGAGGCCTGGAAAAAGGCTGTTGTGTAGACTTTTCATCAGTTTTGATCCGACCAAAAGGTTTTGACTCTATTTTCACTCAGTCCTGAACTGAAAACTGTCACTTGCTGTTAACATCACAGTACTTGATGTTCTGTGATGTACTGTGATGATCTAAGCAGATTAGACCAATAACTGGGCTCAGATTACTGACAACCCTTAGTTACACTTATAATGTAATGATTGCTTTTGAGCTATTGTCCCAATAAAATTTTACAGTAATTTTGGTCACCTTTTCTTTCCATGGCTCCCAAATTAGCATCTTTATACCATTTTAAATGAATGAGATAGAGATTTTATATTTCCTAATGTCCCACGGCAGTTTCCACCTATAGAAGGTTGCTTAGAGACCGCAAAGCCCACACTTGCAAGTCTAACATCCGATCTAACCGTGTTAAATAAAGTGAGAAGAAAATCCTTGATCTTCCTGTTTATCCAGATCTGCTCCAAGTTTGAATACAAAAAGACAAACAAAGAAACAAACAAAAATCATAGAAAACATACCCTTCTTTGTGAAGGTCATTATTTCAATCAAATCTAAAAATGAATCAGCAGAAGATGATCCAATTTTTAATTCTACATGTAAAAGTTGGAGTACATTAAAATACACAAAATAAAAATAGTTTGGGTCTTTTTATTTACACTAATTTGATAAAGGTAAAACCAGATTATTTACAAATTTCTGTGAAAAATAAATACTCATTTGAATATATACAAGAAAATACAATCCAAGTGAGACAGACCACTTCGAGTTGAGGAACTCACACCTACATTCAAGTTTACTTTGTCATGATGAGCAAGACAAGTACATGTTGACTTACTTAAAGCTCTATTGGGTAATATTAAATACTGACATTAAAACTGACTCTGACTGATGAACATGTGCTCCTTCAATGTGGCTGATTTTTCAACAGCTTAGTCTGTAGGTGAGCTGATCTATGATGGGACTGATCTAAGGTTACCGCACTGTACATTCAGAGGTGTAGATTGTTCTGGCATAACAAGTATGAAGAGCTGACCGGAGAGTCTGTGTTGGCATGCATGGCATTTACCTGACAGCTGTTATGATCTTTCAGCCGTTAAACTTGTCTTTCCTCTTGTAACCACCTTTAGGAGCCAGTTTAAAACTACCTGTCAAGCATGATGCTTGATGTAAATGAGTGGTGAGGAGTTGTTAGAAACCAGAGGTGAAAGATGAAAACTTCCGAGACTTCAAATTACCTTGGTGGGCAGAAAACTCGACTCCAGTGCTATGTTCGTGTAGCTAAGGTGTTAATTTAGTCTCAAAATTTGCTCTGGAGGTTGGAACGGTGGCTGATGCTCCCCTCCCTGGATTAGTCCCTTTGAAGACTTGAGTCCCCCACCCTATCGCTGATCTTCCCCCTTTCATTTTTCTGTAGCACCTGTAAAATTCATGGTTCATATATACCACTGCTGTTGACACAAAAATTCTACATCTTGTCTATGCACTATTTACTTGCGTTAAGGGCGTTATAGAAGTGGCTGGCTCATTGTACCTCTTTTTTCTCAAACTATTGATGATTCTACCGCCATGGGGGGCGTTCAATTTTTCTTGCGTGAATTTTGAGACAAAATAAACCGCATATGAAGCTCCGAGTCTGTGGCAGTGGTTTGCGTACAGATTTGTCATAATACTGCATCTTGATGAGCTGATGATGTATCATGGTTACAAATCTGCTGATGTAACATTAGTTATGGGTCAACAGTCTGAGTATGTCATCTAATGAAATCTCCTGTCATATGACTTTCTTTGGAGAGAGATCCAGAGCAGACCTAACAGGTCTGGATTTAACCTCCTCAGAGCTGCAGCTCAAGTTTCTCCAAGTGATAAAAGTTCAACAATTGGAGGTGCTGTGTAAGAAAGAAAACTTATGATGCGATTGGGGAGGCCCAGCTGAGAAACCACCTCACGTGCTCTTGTGCCGAGAGTCCTCCTCACTGTCACTCTGCTGATCTGCTGTAGACTCAGGGGAGTATCTAGGGCAGAGAAAACAAGAGAGACTTTTTTATTTGACTGCTGCTCTCAGGCCCTGTGCATTTCTGGTAGTATCATCTTGTACCCAAGACGCATCAAGGGCACATTTGAGACCAATGAGTCATACTCAGCCGACATCCTCTGCAGTGACGTCCACTTCAATTTCAAAATCATGTTTTGTCAAAGGTTTCCACACACTGGAATATTTGTGACCACCACCACTATATTATAATGAACCTCCACATATTGAAATTCTACTATTTCTCTCCCGCCCCGGGCCACACTGGGTGTATGAACGGCGCTTGTATGCACGGAAGGTCTTTCTTTTTATTTTGGCGCCCATGTTATCAGGTTAGAGCGGCAATACTGTCTGTATGAGCCACTTGTCTAAGGTGTGTCCCAGGCATGTGAGCAGTGCTGCTCTTATAGAGAGTTAGAGTCTGGCCTATTTTTCTAACTGAATCCATTCATTTGTTTTAACAAGGTATTTATTGTTATTGTAAGACCAGAACAGCTTCATACCTGAACATCCCGGCATTTTGTTGAGTACATGGACTACATAACAGAAACCTATTGAAGCAACTCCTCAGCAGACACTTTCAGCTTTCACACTGACACACATTAACTCACAGACACACTGAAGGAGCCATTTGTACAGTCCAACTGGCGAAAAACAACATCAATGCTCTTTGTAAACAGAAGTATAGTACATGTGTATTTGTATATAGAAGCAGGGAGGTGAGATCTGATCACATGTGGTATCTGAAGTCACATGTGGAGACTATTGGAATGCCAGATGTTAGTACCAGATGTTAGACGGATGTTAGTACCAGGTCTGAACAGGGCCACTCAGGATACCGTACATAGAAACAATAAGATATGTGTGTAAGCAAACTTACTCTCATAGAACTCAAGGCAGAGGTAACAGGGAGATCCCAGACTGGTGTAGTGGATGGGTTTTTTGTTCAGGTTATCCCTGGCATACACGTTGCCCCCAAATTCCACAAGTAGCTCAACTAAGTCAACGTTCTTTGTTTTGGCTGCATGATGAAGGGCAGTCTCATGTAGCTTGGCAGCATTAACATTTGCCCCTAAAGGAAAGAAAAAACACAAATGGCTTGAGTGAGTGAGTACATTATAAATGTCATAATAACTTGATATCATTTATGGTACATATGAAAACAAACCTGCTGTTACTTTGAATAGGCAAATTAAATCTCCCTCATATGGAATATCGACATTGTGAGCCATGTTAACAAGCTGAGTAAAACTGTGACAAATAACAGGCAGATTGATCGACTGAAAAAATACAATTAGTCAAATGTATTTTCAGGGCTTGATGAAAAGCTGGGAAATGAACTGATGTGACATTTTTCTGTCCCATGGAGACAAGACAGTTGATTTTGTTGTAGTAATTATCTGAATACTGTAATATCATGATGTTGTCATTTCACATGTTACCTGCACTGAGGAGAACTTTGGCGCAGTTGTAGTGTTGCCTGGCACAGGCTACATGAAGCGGTGTCCCGTAGTGGCAGTCGTGGGCCTCCATGAAAGCTCCTCGATCAATCATGAGCTGAACACAATCTGAATTACCTTTCGAGAGAAAAAGGCAAAATGTATTTTATTTAGAACAAAATGAAACGACTCTCTGAGCACAGAAAGGTCAGGAGATACCTATTTCCTGTGGGCTTGAAAGGAGGAAATGTTTTGTCCTTCAAAGAGCAGAGGAGCTGTTGTTTGGCTTGAATAGATTTTGGTGAAATATATGCACAGATTCGTGCTTCAAAGTACATTCCTGTCTGATGTTGTACAAAACATGACGCACCTCCCATGCACGCCTCGTGAAGAGGTGAGAAGGTAAACAGCGGAGGGTTAACTGTGGCTCCATACTCCAACAACAGCTTGACACATGCAAGGCTTCCAGCTGCACAGGCATCACACAGTGGAGTGCTACCATCGATGTTGCGGGCATCCACCTGTCGGACACAGAGGCACAACAATGTCACACATACAATCAGTCTATCGTGCACTGATGAGCTAAGACATTAACTTGACTCAATTCTGGTGGATCTGTTCACCTGTGCACCAGCGCCCAGCAGCAGTCGGACACATTGGGTCTGGCCCTGTATGCACGCCTCATGCAGCGGCGTGATAGAGTCCACAGCCACGATGTTAACTGCTGCACCGCCCTCGATCAGCTGCTGCAGCTGCAGCACCCTGCCCTGCGCAGCGGCCTCATGCACAGCAGACCGGTCCGTCCAGAATCCAAGACCATGAGCTGCAAACATGCAACACCAGACAAAACTGACCCCGTCTACTTATGTTAAATAACTTTTCTAGGTGTGTGAGTGTTGACTTGTGATTAACTAATCTTCTCCCCAAGTCAATGTTTATTTAGTCACTTCTCTTTAAAAAAACATTGTTGAATAATTAGTTTGTTGTTCATTTGGGCCCAAACACAAAGTGAGAAATGAGAGCCCAAGAAGTTTTTCAACCAATTCTTTCTAAAACAAGAGACAAAAATCACTTGGATAGGTCTTGATCCTGTTGTACTGCAGTTGAATTTATTAGTACTTGCATTTATTACATTGTATGAAGTATGTTATTGTATTGTATTACATTGTATGAAATATGTTATTGTATTACATGGTAAGAAGTATGATATTGAATTGTATTACATAGTAAGGAGTATGTTATTGGGTTGTCTTACTTTGTAAGGATTGTTTTTTATTGCGATATATTATAAGGATCATTGG